AAGCCAATGTGAAATACCAGAGGCATGTAAGCTTCTGTAGTAACGAACATTAGTAACTGTTGCTGACAGAAACAGGACTTGTAAATGCTCAGCACCTCTGAAAGCCACCTAAAATGACAGGTACTTTTGAAAGCTTGAGCCTGTACCTCTGTTTTGTTTCAATTACTTTCTACAACTTTCAGATACAGAGACATGCAGCATATAAACATGCTGCAGAAATACGTAAGCATTGGGAAAGCATTTCAGGTTCTTCCTTGAAAAAGGAAAGCAAACTATGTTAGTTATTATGTCAACACAATTCACCCATAAACACGCCTCACAGCCACTACTGTAAAGTCCACAAGTGAAACTTTTTAGCTGGTGTGAACAGCAATTTATACCACTAAGAATCTTGCCTATGCATTGTTTTCTGCACTCAATCACATTTCTCTAGGAGTAAACAGATAACCAACACAAGCTCTACAGAACAGTTCAAAGCCAAGTCTGCAGTGATGTTTCTACTACACTGACAGAAGAGCAAAAAATTGATTTTGGCATTCTTTTGACCGGAAGAATACAAACGTGATGATAAGGTAGCAATAAGACCTGGAAATTGCAGGAAATGTCTCAGAACTGTGGAAAAGTCCCTTTAGGATTAACAAAAACCATGTCCCAACAAAGAACAGCATGGACATGGTAAGAAATTCTGTATATAAGAGACGGGATTCCAGTGAGGACAGCAACAACAACACTCAACAGCTAAACCACCCAACAAGCTACAGGCTCTCTGAAAAGCCCCAATCAACCTCCTCTTTGCAGCACAGCATCCACGCTGATTGAAAGCCACTACGTTGTATACAGCCTGCAAGGCACGACTTAGTTACATAAAGCATTCCAACAAAAACTCACATAACCAAGTCTTTTCAAGGTAGTGTATGACTGGTAAGCACCGTCTAGCCTCTGATTTTAGTCTCTAGTATATAATCTTCATTCTTTTACTTTCTTGTATCTGTTCAGTTACCTCTCACAGACCATATTTCAGCCTCCAAAACCACATCGGACAAACTGGCCAGGAATCCGCCAAAAAGAGAGACTGGCTCAGTGTAAACGATTGGCATCAGATAGAACTTTTCATCTTGAAAATATCGTGGTCCAACTTAGTAGCAAACAAGAGCCAGCACAATTGCTCGCTGGCAGACTACATGACGTTCTCCTAAGCTATTTTCCATTTGATCAATTCATCAATCAAAACATCAGCACATCAATTCCTTTTACCTAATTCATTATTTATAAGGCATCCATCCAGTCTCCTGAAGCACTTACTATATATTTAATCTTCACAACACCTGTTCATCAGAGACACAGACATCATCTTACTCTGCCGGCAGCAATGACCCCGGTGGGTTATGTGACATTCCCCTCTCAAGATTTCAGGGACAGCCTATGACAAAGCCTTGAACTGACTAATGGTCATTTCCATCCTTAGTTACTTTAATCTTCTTTACTATTTGGTACCATAGCTCAATACTCTGATCACAAAGTTACAGTACTGAAAAAGCACACATATACTCCTACCTCAAGGCAGATCTGGCAGGACTCTGTGGGGAAATCCGCGTTTGTTGAGGAGACTTGTATTTCTCTAGCAAGCGAGACATTTAAATAATGCCTCTCACTAGAATTATTATTCAAGGTCATTAACTAGGATTTGGATTCATAAGTCCAATTAGCATCAAAGGAAGCTGAACAGCAAAATAGCCCCATTCAGCTCTCTGAAGACATACCCAACAGTTCTCTATTAAACTAATTAAAGAAGGACATTACAGCCTGAATGTCCAATCACTTTTGCCCGGAGGGCCAGCAGTACCCCAGATGCTCCCAAATGCAGTAGGCATGTGCTCTCTAAACTGCTACCAAACAAACGCTGGAAAGAGCTTCCAGACAAATGCTACAGCTGAACCCCTTAACTGCATAGGCTTCAGGAAACCCTATCACCTTGCCTGTCATGTGTTCAGTAATAGAGGCATAACGTAAGAGAGGAAGCTATGGATGGATAGGTCAAGAACAAGCCAGAATACAGTAATAATCTAACCCAACAGTATGGTGTAGATAGATGTTACTGATATAATACAAGCAAAAAAAACTAAACTCAACTAGTCATAGCCTGAGGGAATAGAAAGAAATACCTTCTCCTCCCTATTCTCACACCAGAACCTTGAAAGAAAGCATTATGAAGGGCCTCTGCTCATCTACAACTACGGCTTCAAAAGCAGCAAACGGCCTTAAAACAGTTGGCTAGTAAATAACCAGTAAACTGCGGATAACTCCTTTTCAGGAGCAGACATCATTCTTCAGCTGCAGAAGGCAAAGAAGAACTTAAGTAAGGGCATGGCTGTCCTGTTAAATGCTGCTAACTTCAGCATAACTGGCTAGTGGAAGCCAGGTGCTGCCCTCTGAAGAAACAGAAACAATACTGACATACAGGTGGGATACTATTACTAGATTTGCTTTTTCTGGACCGAGCCAGTATCCATCCCAACTGGATGTGACAGCTCATGAATCTCTCTGTCCCGCATTCTTATGCGGTATAAATGTGCCCTAGATTGTGATCTTGCTAAAGTATAATGCAGAGAAGTGCTGAAGTATTTTCCTGGTATTCAATATATTCTAGGGACATACCAAATTTTCCTAGAGAACAAACTAGAACATTCTCCTTGCACATACAGTACTCAAAATACTCCTTTAGCTGCTACTCTTGGAGGAGACTACAGAAATATATTTTTTCCACTGAACTATTTGCCACACTGCCTTTGACACCATCAATATGTTGTCATTATAGATTTTGGATATGAGTTGGACTAGCATCACTTGATGGAAAGAAGATCCATAACTAACTCAAGTACCATGGAATATTCCAGATCATACCCCCAGGCTCCGCTACTATATCCAAACATAATACAGCAGAAAGGGTGAATAGCAGCTTCAAAGTGGATCAGCAGCCAGGGGATGATCTGTGTTAAATTAGATGATGCAATCTGCTGCTGATCAGATGAAAGCAAGAAAGGGGCATGCTCAGGATCTCTCTGTGCTGCACCTATTTCTGGCTGCTTCCGGTCACTGCCCTCACACTGTTTCCAACGCTATTCTTCTACAGGAACCAGCTCTCACAGCGCTGCTCTTGAACAAATACCAAGCCAAGGTGAGTTTTCTTCCAGTCTGCACTGATATATATCATGCAGGCGAACTCCAGCCCAGCATGTGGCCCCACGTGCAGATCTGGAGTTTGGCAGTAGCTTATTAGCAGAGAAGGAAGAGTAAGCTCAGAGTAAAGATGACTGGTGAAAGCAAAATCTCCTAGACACTGCCTGTCCAAGATTCAGCGTGGCAGTGTTTACACCACACCAAGGATCCCACAACCAAAGCTTTCATTCAAATTCTCTCATGCACTCTTCATTTTGTAAAAAGGCAGTAATACTGAGCGCATTGTTTACGGAGAAGTCTAACATTACAGTTTACTTCATCATAGCTGCATCTGTCAAGCTGTTAGCTTTATTTCAAAAAATTAGGATTTACAGTGGGAGAAGTCAACTCAACAAATGCAACATTAATAACATAGGGGGAGGAAAAGGAAAAGGAGGGCATATCTTTAAAGAGGCAGTAGGCAAAAAGGTGGAAAGGTGGTAACAGCCAGTTGACTACTTCATAGGGAATGAGAACAGTGCTTACAGCAAACAAAGGGAGCATACACTGTATTAAAGATGAAGGCTGATAAATGGGGAGATAAAGAGTCCAGTTTTCTACAATCACAGCACAAAGTAAGCATAATCTAATTCTAATGGAGCTACTGGGAATTACCCATGCAGCTGTTCTGAGCTGCTCAACCTGGGCTGAAAATGTTTGTATCTGGGATGGGTCATGTCATAACATTCCCTACTGACATGAGGTCCCTTGCGGACTGTAACTGACAGGAGTTTAGAGCAGCAAAGAAACTGCTCTTATTCTCTTCCCATTTGATGGCTGCTCTGCAGTGATTAGATCTCAAATTCCCTAATTTTCCTTGCACAAAGCTGCACCACGCATATTCAAGAGAGCAGTGGAGAGTAATGAGGTGGTAAAAATACTCACAGAAAAGTACTATAGTGGTAAAAAAAAAAAACAAGATGTCGTCCCTGTCAGCAGCTAACACTGGATATCTAGAAAGACCATAGGACAGGACAAATTCATAGCAATACTTCTACAACTCCTCTTATAGCCTCAAAGACATCTGACTCAAAGACTTTTGAATAAGAAGTACCTTTGTATCTGACAGACCTCAACCAACTTCTTCCATGATTTGTTGAGTTGCTTTTTGAACCCATGCAAAGTCTTAGCATGCACAACATTCTCAAACAAGGGAAGCCTAAGCATTTAAGATCTTAACTATAAGCTGTGAGAAGTAGTATCCTCCTGTTTTGAACTTTGCGCATGCTAGTTTCTTTTGATGTTCCTAGTACTTCTGTCAGAAGAGACAGTGTACAATTTTACCTATTTACTTTCTCCACAGCAATCAGAATATCCAAAACAAGATCTTAAATAGCTTTACAAATGGGGGCAGTGCCATCTTCCCTACTCTTTCACAGTTTCTAGACTATTTATTTCCAGTAGACAAAAGCTGATCTAGATTTAAAGGTAAATATACACACTGAGAAGACTGAGAAGCATCATCTGTTACCATAACGAATGCTGTAATTTAGAAGGAAAATCAGAGCATAAAACAATCTTCCTTTCTAATCAAATATCAGCATTATACTCGTGTCTACTTTTACACTTCTCTTCAGATTTCATTCATGGATGGAGACTGAGGGCACACCAGCAAATTATCCATTTACTGCCAGTCTATATATACATATGTATTTACACATAAAGTAACGAAAACACCTACATTCAGCCCCTTCCTCTGTCTACCTCACTTGTAAGTCAAATTCTGAACTTAATTTTACAAACGCTCACAGCTCCACAGGACTCAAATCATCACACATTCTTACCTTAGCTGATATGGAGGTATCTTGGTAGCAGCATCAGGAGAATCCAAGGTTTCTGTATAATCAGAGGAAAGAATAAGACCTTTAAAGGCAACTTTGAGTTCAGCCATGGTATTGCACCTGGCTACAATCTCTGAATCATGAGCCTAAAGTTTCTATCTAAGACAGCTGACAGAACAACAACCACAACTGCTCCAAGTCTCCAAAGACTTGCGTGAATCTACTGGGGCACTGGGTACCATCTTTTCCTCGGTGAACTCCCTCTCCCGTGTCAGTACTTCAACAGCATGTATACTAAGACTGGAACAACACAGCAGCGATGAGCACGGCCACTGTGCAAGGATAACACACAAATTTATGAAGTGATCCACCAAACATCAAACTGAAAAGCCAGAAATGCGATAGCAACAGGTATTAACTACAAGAGACTCTGCTGTAACCTTGCAAGAATACATATGGATTCCAAAAACCAGCAGCTGCTCAAAAATCTGAAGTAATGAAGAATCATTTTGAGCATTGCAATTATTTTGACACAATCTAAGGGTCATGCTTAGTGCTATCCTAGGTAGTTTGTGTCAGAAGCACCTCAAGCCGCAGCCATTCCCTGCGAAAACGGGTGGACGCTGCAATTTACCTAAGCTCATGTTCACTTAAAACACAAACTCATTTTACCAATTATCAATTCCATTATACAGCGAGGCTAAAAGAGCTCATGGAATCCAGTCCAAAAAAATAAAAATAAAAATCAGCTTTTAAAATAGACGCCCCAACATAAACCGGCAGCGAAGCCAGGACACGAAAACGGCACTGAAACATATAGCGACCGCGTACAGTGATTTAGGCGCCCAACAAGTTCGCGGCGCAGCCCGCACGGCCGGGCAC